GAAACCCTATACAGGGTCGCTATGGGTCGGAATGGACTCGACAGCACTTAACAACAACAACATACACTTCTAGGAGTCCTGGTGTGGTGCTGTGGGTTAATACACTGGACTGCAAGGTCGGTTTGAACTGCAAGGTCGGAGGTTCAAGCTCACCAGTCGCTTCTCTGAAACCCTATAGAGGGTCGCTATGAGTCGGAACCGACTTGATGGCACATAACAACAACACACTTCTAGAAAGAAGTCTGGGTGGTGCAATGGTGAAACATTGAGCTTGCTAACTTCAACGTTGGCAATTTGAAACCACCAGGCTACCACAGAGAAAACACACGGTGATTCTGCTCCAGTAAAGATTACAAGTTAGGAAGCCCTATGGGTTAGTTCTACTCGGTCATACAGGGCTGCTTGACTGCACATCACAGCAAAACTTACAGAGAAAAGACTGGAAGGAACTAAATCAAGATGCTATTAGTGGTTTTTCTGGGTTGTGGGATTTAGGGTGATCTCACCTCTTTGTATACCGCCCCCTAAATTTATTGCTAAGTGCTGTGGAGTTGGTTCCCACTCATGTTGTTGTTAAGTGCTGTGGAGTTGGTTCTGATTCATAGCAACACTGTATAGGGTTTCTGAGAAGCTGCTGGTGAGTTTGAACTGCCGACCTTTCACTTCAAAATGACCTTGAGGTCGAGTACTTATTCTATGGCACCACACTAGGACTCCTACTATTATGTTGTTAAGTGCCGTCAAGTCGGTTCCGACCCATAGCGACCCTGTATAGGGTTTCCAAGGAGCAGATGGTGAGCTTGAACCACCGACCTTGCAGTTCAAATGGCTTCGCAGTCTGGTGCATTAACCCACAGCGCCACACCAGGACTCCCCCACTATTATAGTGACCCATAATAGAGTTCCCAAGGAGCTCTGGTAGCGTAGTCATTGAGTCTGGCTACTAACCCCACGGTCAGCAGTTCTAAATTACCAGCTGTTCTGTGGGAGAAAGATGAGGCTTTCTGCTCCTGTAAAGATTTACAGGCTTGGAAACCCTTTGCAGGGTGGCTATGAGACGGAATCGACTCCACGGCACATCACCACCACCATAATAGGGTTTCCGAGACTGTAAATCTTTGAGGGAGCAGAAAGCCTCATCTTTCTCCCTCAGAGCAGCAGGTGGGTTCACTCTGCTGACCTTGTAGTTACAGTCCAGTGCTTACTGTACAGGTTGATTATAAATACAGGTTTTTCTTCCTTTAAATTGTCACATGAAGAATGTTTATAAAACAACCCAGTTATTTGAAGTCAGGACCATTGCCCTCTATCCAGACGCTATGGTGGTATGCATTATCATATAACTGTCTTTTTCAGGTGGAAATGACCATCTGGTCAAAATTTGGGATTATAATGAGGGTGAAGTAACTCATGTTGGAGTGGGACACAGTGGCAACATCACACGCATCCGCGTAAGTCCAGGTAATCGGCACATCATCAGTGTGAGTGCTGATGGAGCCATCCTGAGATGGAAGTACCCCTATACCTCATGAAGCAGCTTGGACCACCTGGGCCGACAGCCTCACCCATTTGTGTTGAACTGGATCTGAGCTTAGGTAATTAATTCCAAGATTGGTCTAGATGTCTCATGCCTGTGTTTTTGTTCTTCCACCAGAAATACTTTACATATGATTTTTTTTTCCCCTTTCCCTGGTAGAATGTGCTTTACATAATTAAATTCTATATTCACATTGGAATGTGCTCAAGAACAATTTATCCAGACTGTAATTAAAGCAATATTATTGTTGTTGTTTTTATTGTGAATAAATGCCAGTTGTTGGTTGCCTGTCATAATCTCTTTTCTGTAACTCTGCAAAAGCCACACACAACAAACTGTTCTTCACAATCTGTCCTCAGATTTAGGCCAGGCTAATTTACATTTTCAATCATAACTTCAGCAGTCAAGCTGCATGGGGCAAGACGTGTGGTTCTGTCCAGATCCTGGGTAGGGTTCTTAAGTCTCTGAGCTTTGGTTTCCTTTTTGTAAAGTGAGAATAAATTCATGCTCAAAAGGTTATTATGAGAATTTAGTGATACAAACCCCAGTGGCACAGTGGGTTAATCATTGGGCTGCTAACTGCATACTGCTTTGTGGGAGAAAGATGAGATCGTCTGCTCCCCAGAAGATTTACATTTAAACCCTATGAAGCAGTTCTACTCTGTCCTATAGGATCACAGGTGAATAGCAACCATCTCAATAGTAATAGGTTTAATGCATTAAAATCAACACCCATCTGTCAGTTTGTCGAACTCTGATGTCTTGCATGTTGCTGGAATCTATGCCACCAGAACTTCAAATACCAGTAGGATCACCCATGGTGGACAGGTTGAGCAGAACTTTCAGACTGAGACATTAAGGAGAAAGACCTGGAGATCTATATTCAAAATTTAGCCAATTAAAACACTGTGGATCACAGAATATTGTTTGAGACTTCAACTCACTTTTTGGATGCACCATCAGGATTGCTGGAGTTGGACATCATGCTTGGTCAAGTGGAGGGCCATTGAAGTTGAGGGAAACCTTCAGCAAGATGGCTCGGTACAGTGACCACAACAATGGACTCAGGGATGCCAACAATCAGGAAGTTTGTGCAGGACTGAGCGATGTTTTGTTTTGTTATACATAAAGTCACTTCTTGTTGTTGTTAGGTGCCATCGAGTCGGTACCAACTGATACGACCGTATGCACAACAGAATGAAACACTGCCCAGTCCTGGGCCAACCTCACAATTGTTGCCATGCTAGAGCCCATTGATGCTGCCATATTGTAAGTAACAACTACTATGTATTAAAGCATCAGTAGAATTCCAGGCTCTGGTAGCGTAGTGGTTACGAATCGGGCTGCGAACCTTAAGGTTAGCGGTTCGAAACTACCAGCCGCTCCGCAGGAGAAAGATGAGGCTTTCTACTCCCGTAAAGATTTACACCCTCGGAAACCCTGTCGCTGTGGGTCGGAACCGACTCGAC